AGAGAGCCCTAAGGGACTGCTCCAAAAAGGTAAGGGAGGAACCAGGATATGTAGGGGTTTTGCAACAAAGGCCAGGTAGTTGGAGCATCAAAAGATTACTGTTAATTAAAGAAAACCAGATATCTAAAGTTAAGGAATTCAGTGCTTTTCTATGTATGGGAAGATGCAAGAGTCTGGGTTCACTGAAACCATTCCTTTGATATGCACCTTAACTGTCTAAGGCCAGTATCCTGCTTTCCACCCTGAGTCCCCTCAGGGTGCACCATTGGGGGCTGCTATCGTGGCTAGATGGCTGCAGCATCCTTTGTTTACTGGTTGGCAGGCAGCATTTTTCATTCGCGCTATTGATAGTGATGTTCTCCACTAGGGACTAGGAATGCCTGAGGCACTCACCCAAGCCTGTGGGGCCAGTGTTGTGGTTAGCCTGACCCATGTGGTTCTTACTATGATTTTAGTACACACTTCAGCAAGAACTTAAAAGAACAAGAACAAGTTCTCTTCAGAGAACTTAAAAGAACAAGATTTATTACTCAACGTCCTGGAGGGTACACAGCACACCCAAGGGCCACAAAGTGAGGTGACAGGTTGAGAGAAATAGCACAAACCTGGGGCTCTGCCCTTATTAGGGTCTGAGGGTGAGGTGTCTAGTATTTCACAGGTTCACTCTTTATTGGCTAATTTAAAGCATAAGAGAGGGAATTAGGGAATGAGAAGGGAGAATCCAAAAGAATGTTGAAGAACAGATTTGGAGGGTGGCTAATAATACCTCATTTCAAGGTTTATGATAAGACTACAGAAGTCAAGGCAATTTGATCTCGACATAGAGACAGAAAATTATATAAACAGAATAGACCCATGTACATGTAGACAATTGATATTCAACAAAGGTAGGGAAGAAAAAATAATCTTTTCAACAATTCGTGCTGGAACAATCAGTTATCTACATGCAAAGCAATGAACTTTAATCCACATCCCCAATCATATGAAACTCTCAATAAGATTAATTAGATTTCTCGCCAGAAACCATCAAGGCCTGAAGGCAATGAGATGATATATTAAAGTGCTAAAAATAAAAAGACTGTCAATTCAGAATTCTATATCCACGAAACTGTCCTTCAGAACTGAAGGAGAAATTAAGACATTCCGGATAAACAAAAACTGAGATTTACCACCAGCAAGCCTGCCCTACAAGAAATGCTAAAAGGAGTCCTTCAGGCAGTAACAAAAGGTTACTAGACAGTAACCTTTCAAACCACATGAGAAAATAAAGAGCACCGATAAATGTAGCTACCTAGGTAAATATAAAAGATTATAAATATATTTTTGTTTGTCTCAGTGAGATCCAGCTGCAAGTCACCACAGACTGGGAAGCTTAAACAACAGATTTACTTCTCATAATCTTGGAGGCTGGCAGGCACCAGCGTGGTTGGGTTCTGGTGAGGGCTGACTTCCTGGCCTGTAGACAGCTGCTTTCTCACTGTATTCTCACTTGGTGAAGAGCAAAGAGAGGACTAACTCTCTTCCTCGTCTTAAAAGGACACTAATCCCATCATGAGGGTTCCACCCTCATAACCTAATTACCTCCCAAAAGTCCCCACCTCCAAATACCACCACATTAGGGCCTCAGTATATGAATTTTGAGGGAACACAAACATTCAGTCTATAGCATTGTTTGTAACTCCTTTTTCTCTTATTTGATTAAAAGACAACTTCATAAAGCAGTCATTATAAACCTATGAAGGTAGATACACAATGTATAAAGGTGTGATTTATATGGCAATAATAGCAAGTAGTAGAAGGAGACAGATAGAAGCAAAGTCTTCATATACTACTGCGATTAGGGTAGTAACGCTCCAAACTAGATTGCTATAGGTTGAGATGTTCAATAATCTTCAGGCAACTACTAAGAAATAACTTTAAAAACTGTGGTAAATGGAAGGGAGTTTAAATTGTAGACCAGAAAATATCTATTTAACACATAAGAAGAAAATAATGCAGGTGCAGAGAAACAAAAAGCAAAATGGGAGGCATAAATCCTACCTTCTAGTAATTACATTGAATGTAAATGTGTTAAACATTGCAATTAAAATGTGGGTATTGGCAGAATGAGTGAAAAAAAATCATCCCACTATCTGCTGCCTATAAAAGACACACTTTAGACTCAAAGACACAATTAGATTGAAAGCAAATAGGTTGAAAAAGAAATACTCTGTTCAGAGTAACCAAAGGAGAGCTGGAGTACTCAGTAATATTTGACAATATTTGACAATAAAACAAAAATTGTTACTAGAAACAAAGAAGGACATTTTCTAATGATAAAAGAATCATTCTATCAAGAATATATAAAAATAATACAGAGAAGCCTAATGACAGAGCTCCAAAATAAGTGAAACAAAAATTGAAAATTAAAGGGAGAAATAGATAATAAAACAATAATAATTGGAGTCTTCAATACTCCACTTTCAATACCGGATAAAACAACTAGCCAAAAGGCCAAGCAGAAAATAGTCGTGAACAGCACCAAAGCCTAACTAGAGCTAACAGACTTCTAATAGAATGTTCCATCCCCGAGAGGAGTCGCATACACATTCTTCTCAAATGCACATACATTTTCCAAGATAGATTGTATGTTAGGCTATAAAACAAACCTTAATAAATTTGAAAAAACTGAAATCCTAAGTATGCTCTTCATTCATAATGGAATGAAATTAGAAATCAAGAAAATTTGGGAAATTCACAAATATGTGGAAATTAAAGAATAAATTCCTAAATAATGGGTCAAAATAGAAATCACAATGGAAATAAAAATAATTTGGGATGAATGAAAATGAAAGCACAGCATACCACAACTTGCAGGATGCATCTGAAACAATGCTTAGAGGGTCCAGCTGCTTTCTGGGACACCCAGCTATGGCATCTCTCCTGTAGTCGGAGGCAGGAGCCCTGAAAAACAGCTTCAAGACTCTCATTCTCTGACCTGCCCAGGAGCCTGGTTGCAGACATCTGACAGTACATGTTGACTGGATCAATGGATGAGCCTTCTCCCCTCAAAGCCACACAGCCTGTATCATGTGTCAGGCTAACCCCTTCTTCTATACACAACTTCTTCCTTCAAAGCCTTTGGCAGCCCCTATGTCCTCTTGGCTTGAGACTGGACTCATCTGGCTTTTTTGGCCTCTCCAAATGGCACTAACTTGACCTTTCAACTATATTCCCCACTGCTCCCTAGTCCCCTCCAGTCAAGCTTATCACCACTCAAGAGACTTTGCTCCCTATGGCCAGGAGAAGAGGCACGGGCTTCAGGGCTAGACAGGCCATGATGCAGATTTTAGCCTGTTATGTGATGTTGGGTTTCCACATCTGTAAAATGGGGATTTAAAAAGTGTACCCTATAGAGGTGCCATATGCATTACATAGTATCAGGTACATAGTAAGGATTCCATATATAGAATATTATTATTATTATTATTATTATTATTATTATTATTATTACTACTACTACTACTGCTACTACTACTACTACTACTACTACTATTCTCCAACTATCCAGATCCTCTATGACCTTCAAAGTCTCCTCAAGTTTCAACTACCACAAAAAAATGTCACCTCTGACTATTTCTCTCCTCATCCAGTGTGGCTCTAAGCAGCAAACAATTGATCACTCACTCTCTGGCTATTACTGTATATCAATAAATGTTGTTTCTCACCTAGGCAGTAAGCAACTTGAAGGCATATATTATATTCTAGTTCAGAACACCTCTTCAGCAGTAGTACAGCACAATACTTAAAATCCTAGACTCAAGCAAGACTGAATTCATAGCTTGGTTTCTTCATTTATTACCTAAGGGACTCAGGGCAAGTCACTTGACCTCTCTGTGCTCAGTTTCCCGCATCTGTGAAATGGGACAACAATAATACAATAGTGCCCACATACAGTGGCTGTGGGGCTAAAACGGAATAAAAAGAGTGCCTGGCCCATACTATCTGCTTAATTATTGTCTATTGAATAAATTGATTCAAAGGCCAGAATACTAGACAGGAAGTAGCTGAAATTAAGTTGACTGACACAGTTAATCTTTACTTGCCGCCATAAAAGTCCAATTTGGAAATACACCACTTGTTTTGGTAAACTTGCTTGATCAGAGTGTTTAGAGCAGCATAGTAAGACCAAATAGTTGCCAAAGTTGTTTTTCAGGAAATGATTTGAGACTAAACTGAAAACTCCAACCCCAGTGATCAGGAGGGTATCCTAATATACTACCTATATGTGTATTCCTCACGGGGACCCACAGCCCTGAGAGATAGACCATCATTGTTTGTCTAATTAATAGAGGAAGGAGATAAGGCATGCAATGGTTGCCTTTCGAAGATACTGAATATTATTTATGTTCCAGGAAAACCACCTGGGAGTAGGCATTATTATCCCTATTTTACAACAGAAGAAACTGGGGTTCTGAGAGGTTACCCGGTCATACAGCTGGTGAGTTGGCAGAGCCAGATTCAAACCCAAATCTACCCAACTCCCAAGCTTGTACTCTTCCCACCCCAACCAGGTGAGGCCCCAGGTGAGGCTGCCATGATCAGAGAGCAAGGCCGCCTCTGACTTCCTATGAACACACACACAGACAGATGGTGCTCTAGCCACTGAGTTTTAAGACTCTTGCTCACCCTCATGACTGAGGGACTGGTTTTCTCCTGGCTGAGCAGTCTCTGGGTTTACTGAAATGTACTCAAGATCTTAGAGAAAAATGGAGACCCAACTTATGAGAGAAGGGAGCTGGCGCTACCACAGATCCACCACATCTTGTGGAAAATGATTACAGATGCCCCTCACCTTGGCCCCGGGGGACATCTGCCCTCTCACATCCCGCCTTCACAAACACTGAAGACAGAGATTAAGTGCATACTTTCACACAAGGGCCACTTGTGGTTTCCCTCCCCTCTGAGCGCACCACTTGGGAGGGCCTTTCAGTTACTTCTCCTAACGTAAGTGACTGGTTTCTCCGTCACAAGTGAATGAGGGGCAGAGGAAGTGTCTGCTCAGTTGCTGGAGCCTGCCCAGGAACCAGCCTCACACCATTTGGGGACGCAGCTGAGCGTAGCAGCCCCTTGGCAAGGCAGCGGTGCTCCCCGGGTCCCCAGTCATGTCCTGGCAGCTCTCTGCAGTGGTGGTGCTCTTCGTGTCCCTGGCCGGTGAGTGACACACATGACTTTCCATGGTGAACTAGGATCAGACAGCCACGTCTGGTCCTATTAAATCTAAGTGCATTCTAGTGCCACTGACTGGGTGGGACAGGACAGACTGCAGGTGGTGGTAGTGGCTTCAGCTACTGTGGGTATTTGAATGGAAAATGTCTCCTCCTTATTACCTTCCACACGGAGCACACCTTCATTTTTTCCCAAAGTTTTCAGAGTTTGGGCTTGTTTTCCATGAGTCAGGCAGAGTAGGTGTCAACCCCAGTAGACAGTGACATTATTTCTGGTTCCCAAATTGGTTCGAGGCACCAATTAGTGAGAATTTGTAGAAATCACTTCAAGTTAAGAGATGGAGAACTGAGCCAGGGCTCAGAAATGGGGCTCTTGCCACACTGTCTGCGGAAAGCAGGGCATGCCTTGCTTTTCCTGTGTTTCTCAAGTGAAGCACTATGTTTATATTCTATAAACAGTGATCTGTGAAGATGAAGGAGGTGTGGTTTGACAAACTGCCATTTCAGAAAGATGTAAGCCAGGGCATCAAGGATTTCTTTTTTAATTACCAGTGTACTTCAGATCAGAGAGACTGTCTGGGAAACTGAACTTTTAAAATGATTATTTTATGTCCCCACCCACTGCTTTCATCAACAGCATTTTCTCCCTAGGACTCTGAGTTGTCTTTTTGCCATTATCAAGTTTGCTGGTTGATTTACAGTTCCTTCTGGAACCACTGAATTGAACATTTGAGGGAACTAGTTCTGTCCACGTCCACATGGCCCCACTAACACACTCAAATGGGGGGCACAGCTGCACTTGAGCGTAACATGAATTGTTACGAAAGTTGGATGAAGGGTCGAAGGCCAGCTGTCCTAATCCAGCCTGTTGTTCCTTGTAACACATTTTCAGAATTAGAGTTTCACATTCTTTTGGAGGCAAATGGAAAAGTCCTCATTATATTTAGCAGGACAAGCTAGTAAAAAAGCAAAAAATCTCAATTTATTTTTTTCTTGTATTTATTTATTTATTGAAGTACAGGCAATTACAATGTGTCAATTTCTGGTGTACAGCACAATGTCCCAGTCATGCATATACATACATATATTCATTTTTATTTTTTTCATTAAAGGTTATTATAAGATATTGAACATAGTTCCCTGTGCTATACAGAAGAAACTTTTCAAAATCTGTTTTTCTATATAGTGACTAACATTTGTAAATCTCAAATTCCCAAATTTATCCCTTCCCACTCCCTTTCCCCAGTAACCATAAGATTGTTTACTATGTCTGTGAGTCTGTTTCTGTTTTGTAGATGAGTTCATAGTGTCCTTTTTTTCTAGATTCCATATATGAGTGACATTATATGATATTTTTTCTTTCTCTTTCTGACTTACTTCATTTAGAATGATAATCTCTAGGTTCATCCATATTACTGCAAATGGCATTATTTTATTCTTTTTTATGGCTGGGTAATATTCCATTGTATAAACATATCACAACTTCTTTATCTAGTCATCTGTCAATGGACATTTAGGTTGCTTCCATGTCTTGGCTATTGTAAACAGTGCTGCTATGAACATTGGGGTGCGTGTATCTTTTTGAATTAGAGTTCCCTCTGCTTATATGCCCAAGAGTGGGATTGCTGGATCATATGGTAAGTCTGTTTTTAGTTTTTTGAAGAATCTCCTTACTGTTTTCCATAATGGCTGCACCAAACTACATTCCCGCCAATAGTGTAGGAGGATTCCCTATTCTCCACACCCTCTCCAGCATTTATAGTTCATGGGCTTTTGAATGATGGCCATTCTGACTGGTGTGAGGTGCTACCTCATTGTAGTTTTGATTTGCATTTCTTTGATAATTAGTGATATTGAACATTTTCTCATGTGCCTGTTGGCCATTCATATGTCTTCATTGGAGAATTGCTTGTTTAGGTCCTCTGCCCATTTTTGGATTGGGTGGTTTGTTTTTTTGTTATTAAGTTGCATGAGCTGTTTATATATTTTGGAAATTAAGCCTTTGTCAGTTGCATCATTTGCAAATATTTTCTCCCATTC